AACAGAAATATGGAAAAATGAGGTATCATAGAGACCCTGTGAATAAACATGACATACATGACTGCATGACCTTCTACATGCAGGCCAAAGCTATCAACAGGGAACGAAAAATATTTTCAATAGTGACTTCTGAGAAAAGTAAGATCCACTTGCACATATGAAATGGAGCAAAGACCAGCGAGTAAAAGCTAGAGCTATAGAAATCCCTGAAGAAAACATGAGAGGGAAGCTTCCCAACCACAAATTTGGATGCTTTCATGACTATGACACAAAATGCATGGGCAGAAAAATAAAGAATTAATTAATTAGAGAAAAAAATGAAGGAATAAATAAATTAAGGAGGGGAAAAGAAAGGGATGAAGGGACAGAAGAAAAGAGGGACATACAAGGATAGATGAAGTGGACATAAATTATACATGGCTCCTTCTGAAGTCTTGAAATATTTTAGTTCTCGTGGAGGATAATGCAGTTTATTAACACCAATGTCTCTGAGGCTGGGCAGAGGTGTGTCCTGTGGGTGTCCTGGACTGACAGTGACCAGGCTGTCAGGCTGACACACTGCCAGGGTTTCCCCTGAGAGACTGAAGTCTGTGCAGTGGGCAGCAGGGGGCGCTGCGGGTCTGTCTCTGGTGCACAGGGAGTGCCCACAGCTGGGCCCTCCCCACGCTCTTAGGGCAGGGCAATGGAAGCTGAGCTCACAGATGCAGGCTCAGCAGCTGGGCCTCTTGGGGTGTGGTCCCAGCACTGCCTCCCTCCAGGTCCTGCATATGCAGCAATCTCTGCCCACAAGCCCCAGTTCTTACATAAACACACATTACAGTGGCAATGCTTTTGCATGAAGAGCCCCTCCTGGGGTAGAGGGTAGGAAGAAAGAGGTCTGGAGCAGCCCAACCATGTGAGAATCAGGGGCTATGTCCACTATGACCTGGACTCCTCTCCTCCTTACACTGCTCTCTCACTGCACAGTTAGGGGAGGCCTCACACTTAAGTCTCAATTCCCAGCCTGCATCAATCCACAGACTCAGAACCCTAGCCCCTCCTCATTTCCTGTCTGTGTCTGCAGGATCCCTCTCTGACTCAGCTGCCCTCTCTCCCTGTGTTCTGGATCAGCCACCTGACTCACCTGTACCCTGAGCAGTGATTTCAATGTTGTCATCTAGGGCATATTCTGGTACCAGCAGAGGCCAGGGAGCCCTCCCCACTATCTTCTGAACTATCACACAGATTCAGAAAAGCACCAGGGCTCCGGGGTCTCCAGCCACTTCTCTGGATTCGAAGACACCTCAGCCAATGCAGATGTTCTGCACGTCTCTGGACTGCAACCTGAGGACGAGACTGACTACTACTCTGTGACCTGGCACCACTATGCTGCTCACAGTGACAAAGTGAGATGGGGAGGTGGGACAAAAAGTTCAGGCTCCACAAGCATAGGCCTATGACTCATTTTGTTGATGTTAAAATATAGCCACTCTTACTATTATAAAAAGTTCCTCAGACTGAAACTGTCTTCTAGTATTTCATAAAACTTTTATAAAGTCTTCAAAAAATTCCTGAAAGCAATGCAGTCACCTGGAGCCAGAATCTGAAGGGCATTTTTTTTTTTTGAGAGGTTTTTGCTATAGGGTGCTCGCACTCGCCAGAAAGACAGAGAGAGACAGAGAGACAAAAAGCGAGAAATCACCCCCCAGGTGGGATGGCCACACCACAATCCCTGAAGGGCATTTTTACAGCAGCCTCTACACAGTTCTGAAGTTTATTCTCACCAAGAAGACAGTCTGTAGTGGAGCCAGTGATTCAGGAGGAAGAGCACAGGTCTCTAGTCTTCCCCAACGCCCAGGGTGACCCCCTGCTCTCCCTGCAGGGTCCACAGCAGAGACAGCCCCAGGCCTAGCCCATGACATTCCAGGAAATGTGAAACTGACCAGGGAAAGGAGCTCAGTGAGAGGTATGGTGGAGGCAAAGATGTCCAGAGACCATCACTATGAGAGACAGTCATATAATTGGTCATCATCCTTTTACGAAGTCAAATACAGTCCAGGGATTAGAAGGGAATTACTCCCCACTTCTGACACCCACTCCTGATGCACGTTCCATTATACATTATACAGTCCATGGAACTTGTACAACACTAAACATTGCACCCCTGTGCATTCTAACACCCTCCTGCCTGTTACCAGATCTGGTGAAGGCCAGCCCCCACGGCCTACTGGGTGAGGGAATCGGTATCCCATGGCTGAACATGTGGTTTACTTCCTGGACTTGGCAGCTTGAAAAAAATGCTTCCAAGGTCTCTACATCAGCAAAGCCACTGACACTGGTGGTCCAGATCTTTCCTTGGTAGCAGACACTTCAATTTCCTTCCTCTTCCTGGAACTATCTAATGCCCTAGTTCAGAGAACCACCAAGTCAGCTGTCTCTCTTCTCTGCCTTCCTCCTTCTCCCTCCTGGGGTTATCCTCATTTCCAGGGAATTCAATGAACACCCCCCCCCCACACACACACACACACACAGCTGTGCTCAGATATGCCTTCTATGCTAGTCTTTGAGAGGTCAGGTGGGAAGGGACACAGGATCCTTGAGAAACCTGAGAAGCAAGTTCATGCTGAGCTCTCAGTGGGGACACCAGATACCTGTGTCCTGTCTCTATTCATTGCTCGTGCCCCAGCAGCTGTGTCCTCCCAGAGGGCCTGGACAGTCTTGGCCCTCACCACCACCATCTCCCACCTTCCTTGCCACAGGAAGACTAACCAAACTGAGCATCACAGCTGGGGCTCAGCCAGCGGAACAGGTGTGTTTGCACTAGACCTCCCCTCACATATGCTGGGCAGAAATAAGGAAGTAGGGGCTGTTTCCCCTCATCTGTGTGTCTCAGGAGGCCGAGCTCAGGGCACCCTCATCATGGCCTGGACCCCTCTCCTCCTCACCCTCACTCTCTGCACAGAGGGCCTGGAGATCATCATCCAGGGTTGCCCTGGGAGGTCCTGGCTCTGCCCTGCTCCCCTGGCCATGCCCCGCCTCACTCCTCCTCTGTCTCCCTCCTGACTCTCAGTTCCTATGCTGGGTCAGAACTGAAGCAGAAGCCTGTAGTCAGGGTTAGCAGCTGAGTCTGTCACTATTCCTGTCACTGCATGCAGCACCAACTGCCAACATGGATCTTGGGATCATGTCCTGGTACCAGTGCCAACCAGGCAGTGTTCTAACCTCTGATACATAGACGTAAATACCAGTCCTCGGGAACCAGCAGTTAGTGTAATGGCTATGTCGCTGGACTCCCACGTAGTCGACCACGGTTCGTGTCCCGGACCCGGTGACTTAGAACTCACGCCGGGCGCGTGTGCATGCGTGCCCAAGATCCTGAGAGGAGAATGGAGGAGAAGGGATTGCGGTGTGACCATCCCCCCTGGGGGGTGATTTCTCGTTTTCTGTCTCTATGTCTCTCTCAGCCACACGTCATTTATGCTAAACCTGTGAGTGTAGACCATGGGAGTCACGCACACACTCAGAGCAGATTCCAAACAGGGCGTGGGGAGAAGGGGCAGTTTCCATGTTTGCCAGTCCAGATCTGTCTGCAAAAGCAGAAACTGTTCCAGTCAACTCCTGCTAAACTGAAACAGTGAGTAAGAAAATACAGGTGAGGGACTAGCAGATGGCATAATGATTACATCTCTGGAGTTGCATGTAGTCTACCATGATTTGAGTTCTGGACTTGGTGGCTTAAAACTCACACTGATGATATATAAGTGCATGCCCAAGATTCCAAGAGGAGAATGGAGGAGAAGGGGTTGTGGCATGGCCATCCCCTCAGGGGATGATTTCTCATTTTCTGTCTTTCGGGTGAGCACACACACCCTATAGCAAAAATCAAAAATAAATAAATAAATAAATAAATAAAAGGAGAAGAAACAAGAAAGGGAGAAGAAAAAATAAAGTGCAGGGGAAAGAAACTATGTTCCCAACACAAACATGTGACACCTAAGACACAATCCTCACATAGGTACCATAGTTGCAGAAAGTGACAAAGTAAGAAGGTAAAGCTTACTACACTGTATGAAGTACTAGGTCCCTGTTCACAGGCATATTTAAAGGCTAGCTAAGCTCTTCATTTACCACTAATCACCAAAGCATCTTGGGTCTTTATTAATATTCTGAAAGCATTGCAGTACTTTTCAAATGATTGCTGAATTGTCATATTTTGAAGATGCCACTGAACTGAGTCCTAGAAGATTCTCATCCTATACAGGTCCCCTGAGCAGCCCACAGATATTCGTCAAAGCAGCCTGCCTGTCCCCTGCACTGTCCTATACAGGTCCCCTGAGCAGCCCACAGATGTTCGTCAAAGCAGCCCGCCTGTCCCCTGCACTGACATTTGACTGGAAACAAAGAGTGCTATTTAGGTTTTGTACAATTGTCTGTGGTGGCCATGGCATCGTAAATGATATTTATGTATGTGTTTGTACCTCCCATGACCAGGAGTCCTCTGGAAGTGCACTGAGCATGCCCAGTACACCAAATCCAGCTAACAGGGGGTCAGACCTGGATGTGAACACCAAAACAGTGTTTGGGGATCTACAGAGAAGAGCTGGATTCTAAGGTCTCTGGGCCACAGGGATCTATCTGACTGCTACCAGCATAGGGCGGTGTGGAGACACTAAGCAGCTGCTCAGTCAGCCCCTAATCCTGGGGCTTACCTTGTTCTCCCTGATAGGGACCCAGTGGCTGTGTCCTCTCTGCCTGGCACAGTCCTCTGAGCAAGGCCCTCTGTGCTGCCGCAGCAGGTGCTTCCTCCCAGGGATCCCCAAGGTGTGGAGCCAACCTCCCTCCCCCTCAGTCTGCAGTGTCAACTGAGCCCCAGCCCAGGGCTGGGG